ACCTGTGAGAACCTGTCAGAACCTGTGAGAACCTGTGAGAACCTGTGAGTACCTGTGCTGTGAGAACCTGTGAGAACCAGTCAGAACCTGTGAGAACCTGTGAGAACCTGTGAGAACCTGTGAGAACCTGTCAGAACCTGTGAGAACCTGTCAGAACTCAGAACCTGTCAGAACCTGTGAGAACCTGTGAGAACCAGTCAGAACCTGTGAGAACCTGTCAGAACCTGCGAGAACCTGTGAGAACCTGTCAGAACCTGTGAGAACCAGTCAGAACCTGTCAGAACCAGTTAGAACCTGTGAGAACCTGTCAGAACCTGTCAGAACCTGTTAGAACCTGTCAGAACCTGTCAGAACCTGTGAGAACCGTCAGAACTCAGAACCAGTCAGAACCTGTGAGAACCAGTCAGAACCTGTGAGAACCAGTCAGAACCTGTGAGAACCAGTGAGAACCTGTCAGAACCTGTCAGAACCAGTCAGAACCTGTCAGAACCAGTCAGAACCTGTGAGAACCAGTCAGAACCTGTGAGAACCTGTGAGAACCTGTCAGAACCTGTGAGAACCTGTGAGAACCTGTGAGAACCTGTGAGAACCTGTGAGAACCTGTGAGAACCAGTGAGAACATGTGAGAACCTGTCAGAACCTGTGAGAACCTGTGAGAACCTGTCAGAACCTGTCAGAACCAGTCAGAACCAGTCACAACCAGTCACAACCAGTCAGAACCAGTCAGAACCTGTGAGAACCAGTCAGAACCTGTGAGAACCAGTCAGAACCTGTGAGAACCTGTCAGAACCTGTTAGAACCTGTCAGAACCTGTCAGAACCTGTGAGAACCTGTCAGAACCTGTGAGAACCTGTGAGAACCTGTGAGAAGCTGTGAGAACATGTGAGAACATGTGAGAACCTGTGAGAACCTGTGAGAACCTGTGAGAACCTGTGAGAACCTGTGAGAAGCTGTGAGAACATGTGAGAAGCTGTGAGAACATGTGAGAAGCTGTGAGAACATGTGAGAACCTGTGAGAACCTGTGAGAACCTGTGAGAACCTGTGAGAAGCTGTGAGAACATGTGAGAAGCTGTGAGAACATGTGAGAAGCTGTGAGAACATGTGAGAACCTGTGAGAACCTGTGAGAACCTGTGAGAACCTGTGAGAAGCTGTGAGAACATGTGAGAAGCTGTGAGAACATGTGAGAAGCTGTGAGAACCTGTGAGAAGCTGTGAGAACCTGTGAGAACCTGTGAGAACCTGTGAACAGGCTTTAATCCAGAGGAGTGTCTTCAGTTTCCAGCTGGTGACACGTTGAGAT